GAGATCACAAATGAAATTAGTGTTTTAAAGTTGACTTGAGCATGAATAAAAAACGTAAATGTTGAGTTTCACTCACTGCCAAAATGAAGATGACATTCGATTCTCATGAGAAGAAGACACATTCCAATTGTACTCATATTGGATGACTAAGTTCATGCCATAAGCAAATTAGTTTTTACACAGAAGGCAAGGAATGGTGTGTGAAATGACTTCGTTTCCAGATAACAAAGGTTGAACTTTTTGTCTGGTTGGTCTCAGAAACTACATCAGTTCAACTAGACACTGTCATGTTCGAGCTGTTAGGAAAATTTTTTAAAATTATGACCGTGGAGCTTTCCTTGTTCGCGGAGGTTTAAGAGGGAATACCTATGAAGGAATTATTTTGAAGGTCCGAAACTCGCGTGCAACATGGCTTGATGAATTTACCCGCAAAGTAATGAAACCCCAGCTAAATCTATCAACCAAGTCACCAATAACTACCATCGCTTCTAAACTTTCATTCGATGTTATCAGCCGTTTATTTGGTATTCAGATTTGTTATCTACTTGATGCATGTTCCTTGTTGTATTAGTTTGTACATGTGGTTATCCTCTTATTCACAAAAACTTTACGTGCTTATTTTCACAATCTGTAAACAGTGCGAAACGATATCATACACCTCCAACATTAGCGGCCGTCAACAGTTCTCCCTTTTCTATGAAACAAACATGTGCACATGGAATCCGGATTCCATAAATCTGCTTCTCACTCTAAGTCTATGCCATCCTATCATCCACCTGGTTTTATCAGCTTTGGCTGTTTAAGGCAAAATCAGTAACTTTGACTTAGAGGTTATTTACACGAAACGCACTCGCATTGATCATTTTTGAATTGCAGCATTTCCTTCCTTAAAGAGAAATTTACCAAGTTCCTCGAAAAGTTAGAATGTGTACATCTGAACTGGTTTGATGTTTGTCACTTTGCGGTTTTAAACAATGTGTCTTGTTTCTCAGTTGCTCGCCGAACATCTCATTTAGATCATGTCTGTTTGATCTTCAGTCGATGTGATATACTGGACGGAGCTGTTTGGTGAGAGAGATATACAATGATAATTAGTCAACATCGGTCGCTGGGAGGTTCTTTGGTAATGGTTTCTCGTATTCCTTAGATCGACCGATTGTGGAATGGGGAGTTTTAAATGTTTGCTATTTATTGCTCAGTTTGACATCACCACCCTCCTGTTTTGAAGTAGTACGATTTAATCTTTGGTGTTGAGCGTTGATTTTTCCCTTGTTATCACATTGTTAGGTGGACCTGGTGGATAGTGATACCATCTACCCCACCCTATCACTTACTGTAAGTTAAATTTGAACTAAAAATCTATCCCAGTAGATTAGATTTTGTTAACCTAGCCCGGAATAGCTGTTTTGATAAGAGGCTGTCGAATGGAATTAATAGATACTCAATTACATAGGAGTAATTGACTTAGTTATATGGTTTTTTTGTCAAGCGGTGGTGGCCCGGTGGTAAAGCCACCAATTATCACCTCGGAGGATGAATGTTCGAATTCCATCACCACGCCTAACTTTCCCCCATTTGCGTACTGTATGGCCACCCCTTGATTGATCGCTTCCCCCTTCCTGAAAACTGTATCTTTTTATATTCAATAAAAGGAAGGAAAAAAGATTGGAGCAAATGAAGCGTGAACTGAAAAGCTAGGAAGCACGGTACAAATGTTTCGATCTGGTTGGGGCTCATCTGCATTGCAAATCCATTGATCTAACTAGGCATTGAGCCAGGGGGGGCCTGTCATGTAGAATGCAAGCATACTACCCACTCTGCCAACGGACGGCTGATCAAACCGTTTGGTCAGTTGGCCTTGGAAAGTGTGAGTAGCATGCTTGTGTTCTACCTGTGAAGTTCCGGGTTCAATCCCAGCTAGTTCGACAAATTACACTGCTGATGAGACCCTATAAGGTCGAAATAGGCGTGCAAGGATTTATACTTTTTTGAAGGTTTGTTTATATATATATGTTTTTATTTAGTCAAAATAAACTGATTGACCACAATTAAGAACAACATCTTGACAAATTTTAGTTAGTGAATCTGATCATCCTTGGTGAATGCTGGTCTGCATAGTGTTGGCACAGGACTCTTCTATGCGATGGATTCAAAAGTTCATATTCCGGACGGGGCGATTGATATTCACTCACTGCTATCATCGTCGCAGTCACCGATGTAGACTATGGTTGTCATATGTTTCATCCTCCAGTTGTTTTTTTTTTTGATTTCAATAAAATTGTCCGCGGGTATCTTGTGGGCGTGTGAGCAATTTTTATCGTTTGTGGCTTTGGCACCTTGGTTGTCATTTACGGGCACTGTATCGAAGGTAGCGTGAAGCTCACAATGGAGCTTTTTCTCTTTGTTTTTTATCGGTCGCTGTGTTCCAATCACTGTTCGCCGAATGAATTTTCATGTGTAGCTGTGGCGAAGACATACTTGGAGACGGTATTCGTTTTTTTCATTTTCTCAGCCCTTGGTTTTTGCAATGTTACTGATTTTTTTTCTAATTTGTTTATAGGTGCCAAATACTGTGTGACAATGCGGATGGCTACTATTGGTTTTGGTATGGGTGTTTTTGTTTCAATAGATAGATGTTTCCAGTGAACTGGTCGAGAGTTTGTTACTGAAACACCAAGGGACGGTAATTAGTTGTTTGACTTCATCTTTATGGTGGAATTCGGGGGAGGATCGTCTTTTTCAGTTTCTGTATTGCTGGTTTGGCGATGAGTCCAACGCGTCCATCGGTGTTCCTATCATGTGTTTAAAGAACCCACCCTCAGGAGTGAAGTATGTTCCTAAGCTTGAACTGATCCCCTCATCCATGTTTCTGTACTCCAATGGTTATTTCAGGATGTATTTCAAGGATACCATGACTACAGTCAAGCTGACCGAGGTGAGCAAGGTAACGATGTAAAAGATTATTATTTCCTCGGCTTTTATATTCCCGTGTTCTAATCTCCCACCTTAAGATTTAGCTTTGTTAATAGGGTCATTGTCCTCAACGAAGAGACGTTCAGGTACGTTCTATTGCGCTTTGACCATCTTGTAGGGAGCGGACCTCAGTGACCTAAATAAGCTCAAGACAAGCACTCGCTATACCACTAAATTTGGGATATCATCCTTGTTCGCGATGAAAATTTTGTAATCTGACTGAACACCAAACTCTTCAATAAGAGCCATCCAGACAACTAGGGCTGTGCAAAAACCTGTTAAGTCTGTCGATGCGTCTGTGTGCATGTGTGTATGTGCTTATGCATGTCTGTATGTGGGCGTGCATTGATATGTGCACATAGTATCATGACTCACCGGATGGGGATGAGGCGGTTGTTTGCTCTGGAAATACTTTGACTTCGGGAGTGATCTGACGTAACTTTTTCGTCAGATCTTCTATTCGCTCCGCTCGGACTGCGGTTCGTGCGTAAACATCTAATCCGCCGATATCTTGGGTTGCACCAACCGTCGCTCGACGCGTTTCCAAATGTTTAACCGGGACTTCAAGGTCCTAGCATGGTGGTAAATTTAAACAAAAAATGTGCATGCGGAGTAAAAAGTTTTCACTGGCAGCAATATGCACGAAAAATAGACAATGGTTTATCAGTCTTCAATGAATAGTCTTACAAAATAATTCAAATAGGGGTATGTTTTCTGTGATCGTTAGTGGTTATTCAGCCAACATTTGACTGAACAAGAACCTATCTATACTTCAGATAGATATTTATAAACTACTAGTTGTTGACCTGGAAGAGAAACATGATGAACCTTTGGACTAACAGACATGATGCACTTATTAAAGGTTGCCCTTACAGTACGAATAGGTCGAATTAATTCCGCTGGTTCAATTTGCGCGAAAAGGAGCTGAAACCATCGTGTTCATTAGTGTATCGTTTAGGGACCTTCACTGATTGTGAATAAATTCGAGCAAGCACAAACAACTGAAGACATTGCTTGTAGTTTTTCTTTGACCAGTGTCATACTATCGGGACGTATACATAGTTCCCGTTGAGCAATTAACTTCCTTAACAACAGACGAGGTATACCAAATCTTACATGGGTCATGTGGTCTCCTTTAAGCCACTCTTTTTTAGGTCGGTTAGTTAACATTGGACGTTGTATCGGAGTATGGAAAAATACTGCTGACGATTTCCTTCAATGTGATGAAAACAATAATACTGGCTTTACAGATTTCGAGTATGATGGTTGCTTTACATCAGTACCCAACATTGTGATACACCATGTAACAATTTGTCCCCTCGAACGGACTCCAACACCCCGTTGAGGGGGGACAGAATAGAAATTGTTGCAGCAATATGGTGTTCCCCTCACTGCTCTAAGTTTTTGGTTTTCAGATTCCTATCTTACGAGGGCTGCTTGAGATGACACGGGCACTAAGGTCACTATCTGAACAATCGAACGGAACCTCAATTGAAAATAAGCTCCGTTGGAATATTGTAATAAAGTTCATGAAATAAAATATCTGCAAGGCGATCGATCACAATGACTAGCTAAAATGCGCTAAAATGCGTTAACATTTAGTTTTGTCCTAATTGTGTTACATGTGAACTGTCACACGATCCTGACGGGTTATTTTCCGCTGGATTGTATCAAAAGAAATGGGACAAGAACTTTCTTGGGCCCAAATTACGCAATCATCTTCTTCTTTTAGTGATATCGAGATAACTCGATGAATAAAAAGGCGGAACAGTCTGGAAAATAAAGAAGAAAAAGCCCACTGAGTGGGTTTGTACACAATCGACGGTGTAAAATGAATCGGGTTTAATCACAAACCTCCGATTGCCAGGGCAGGTACTTCAGAGTCCGACAAGTGAGCGAAATAAGACCGTGGAAACTTGTGCGCCGAATTTCAACCGTGGAACTGTAGTAAAGGTACGGGCGCAGCCATTTAGAGTTGAGTGTGTGAGTGGTGTGCATGTTTCACTGAACCTTTTCGTTCACGGTTGCTTTGCTGTTTTCCGTCTTGCGGGTTGCTTGGACGCCCTCACCACTGAGAACCTACTGTGAAATGTGTCCTACCTGTGCATTGAGTGTCGGTGAGTGATCAGGGATTGTGCAGCCGTTTGGTAAGACGCTAGTTGTATAAAACCTCGGACTGCGTTGCCCTGAGTTAACCTGTTGCCAGTGTTTTGAGTGGATTCAGAGCTAGGGTCGGTCTTGCATATACAGAACGTAATTAAGGCTGATCATCTGAACCTTCGTGTCGAAAGTCCCGAATGCGTATGAATGTTTAATTAACTAAAATTAACACTGATAGCATACTTTTATTGTTTAGTTTCATACAGACATAATTAAAATATAAAGGGAGCGAATACAACTGTCTCCAGCTGTATCCTCTTGGGGTTAGTTCACTTACCGAGAATGTCTTTATCGCACAAGCCAAATCGCGTGCACTATCTTTCACCGAGAATAACACTGCATAGTCACACGCACTTTCCGACCGATGGTGATGATTTTCACTGCCATCCAACTCCGAATTCTCGGCTCTATTGGGACAGCCACAGCCGCCGCCGTCCGGTTCATACTTCTGTGAAGGTGAATTAGATGAGTCACATTTATGCTCATCCATTTGACAATATTTTCGTGCAAAGAAACACTTTTACGGACAAAAGAGTAGCTTATATAAAAGCATTGTATCACTTCGGGGTAGTAATTTGATCCATTTGGTTGGATCGGATCAATCTTGTCGAAAGGAGTGCCCGGGGGCATGGTTGAAGTGCCATCAGTGACATCATGATGCTCACCTAACCCGATTCAGTTCCAATCCGCAGCTGACTGGACCGGGGGCAATATCTCATTTTCCTTCCAGTGCAGTGCACTTTTCTGGTGACGCTTTTGTGTCGCGCAGAAATGAATACTCGAAAATCTGACCACAGGACCAGGCCGAGCCCAACTTCCGAACATGTACTCAGAAAGCAACCATAGGCCGAATGACCTGACGAGGCAAATGCATGCACAAAGTGCTGACACGTTCGTCAATCGCAGATCATATCACACATAATTGTCCGGCCAAACGATTGACGTTTATTTCATCGGTTTCACATTCAGCAAAAGTTCCGACCCATTATCTGATCATCAGCAGCTAGTTACAGAATGGACTTGTAAATGCATATACATATTCCCACGATTCTGTCTTATAAATTAAACAGGACGATAGAAGTGATAGATGTGAGGTCAACTGGAGTCGCACTATCACACACTTGCTAATAATAATGCAAATAATGTTTCAAATTTCAGCAAACGAATGTTTCAGTAACGACTCATCAGTCTATCATCTAGCATGCATTTATGTAGGATGCACCAAACTTCACCAAAATATCTAAAAGCTAACGTTTACTGGCCAGAACGGGTGGGAAATTAATTGTTCTTTTACGTTAACTTGGGGTCAGTTATAATGTTTCCTGGGATAGGTCGAGGAACATATCCCTGAAGTAATCCACTGATGCATTGTCAATTTCCATTCAGTCAGTGGTTTTTCCAATCAGCATATAAAAGCAGCAGATTCGGTGCAAGTATCGATCGATCACAGGTTTGGGGACAAGATGCTGACTGTTGTAAGAACACCCATCCAATACACACTGTCGGTAAACATGAGAACTCCCCCCACCTCAGGCAAGATTCTACCTAACTACTCACCGAGAACCGCGTTCACACACTCAAAGTCCAATAAACTGCATCCAGGGCTCCCGATAGTGCATTTTTAACAATTAACATTAACAAACAGGTATACCAACAAAAATCATAATGCTCACAATTGTAAGGGGGAAAGTTGTGATCTGATTCCTTACAAAATCAAATCCCGCTTAAACGAACAATACTTACATATTTGAAGTACCAGTGCTTCGGTTGTGTTTCGTTCTTTGGCCACGTGATTGCGTTGATTTCCGGCTCCGACATCTTGGCTCGAAACAAACACTGCTATTTGTGTCGAGTTCCCGTCTGTGGAGAACTAGATATCATTGTGCGTTTGTGCTAATGATAACTAACGGCGATTCAAATCCATCGGGGAACAGTTCAAACAATCACATGACACTATATATCGCGCCAATGCTAAGTCGCTAAAACCTCGTTTATTGTAAGTAGTAATAGGAGAAGACTGAATGAATTTGATATCATTGTGGCTGAAAAAGCTATATATTTGTTTGGTGTACCATGCTTCGGTCAATATTTGAAACTGCTCTCAAAATAATCTTGAATCCCCAAGTTCCGACATGCGATTCTTACAGAGAAGTCAGAACCATAGGTTTGCACAATTTAGTCATGGTCATTTCACTGTATCTGTACACATGCGTACTGCAATAGATGTGAATTTTATAGTCAGTGAGGTAACATCTGTGATGGGAAGACAAGATCGCTAATCACAGAGGGTGACACGACAGTCAATCACCAATGAAGTACTAATGGGATTAACCATGAACTTTGTTTGCATAGCTCGGGTTTGAGGGTAGAAATGGTTAGAACCTAAGAAAATGTCAGTAACTTTGCATTTTTAGTGTTGTAGGCAAAGTTAACTGTGGGTTGAATTGACATAATGCTTGTGTTCGAATAGTTACTGTCATCGGAGATCTAAGTCTATTCTGCCCATTTGATGACGGTTTCGAACTTACCGTCCATCGCTTTCTTAAGTCACACAGGGATTTGTTCGGCTATCAGTTGACACAATTATCTTTCTGAACTACCTGTATGGATGGCCGAACCTCCACACTTGAATTGGTAAATGCAATTTGATTTGGCGGAGGGACAGAATGGTTCGTTCACGAATGTCGTTGGTATCCTGGTGGTTGCTAAGACAATGACCGGGGCGGCTGTGCAATAGACGCGCTCGACGGCAGAGTTCAACCGCTTGCTGACAAATTCACTCACAGTATCGCCTTTATATGAAACCTTTTAAAAAGCTTTCATTTAGGGGGCATTCAAAGGCTAAAAGTTAGGTTTTCGTTCCTTGAACACTGATATCGGTAGATAGATGGAGTCGCTACAGTCCGCCGGGGCCGATTTACGGATATTTTTCTTGACCGCAAAAAAGAAAGGCTTGATGAGGATGTTTCAAAACCAAATTTATACTGTCTTTGTGTTGATAAAATCTTTGTTATAAGCCACATCAAGGAGGATGGAGAAAACCTATTTCATCGATTGACCACAATCCATCTAACATCCCTCTCACTCGTCACAACGAACGGGACGACCGCACTGAGTTTTAGACATAAACATTACTCATTGATCGGATGGACGGATCGATTAAAAGATCTGTCTTCCGAACGAACTTGTGGTCTGAGTACTATTAGCATTTCACGCGTTTCATCCCCATTCGATATGAAATTGGTCTTGTTCGCACACTGATTCATCGAGCGCGTTAGATATGCACAGAAGACTCTAAACGATGAAAGTTACCTCAAAATAAGTAGTACACGCAACTGGACACCCAGTTGTATTCATCAAAAGACATTGTAAAACAGCACTAAAAGTAGAAAAACCAATAACTGAACTTGAGATAGACGCTGATATTACCAGGTTCTGAAGCTTCGAACTCTGGTCTCTGTTACGCTATTGTTTGGTTAGTGCTTGTTCTCAGTCTGCCCTCATATGCACGCAGGTTGAAGGATGCAATGAAAACCACACTGTTTGATGTGCAACTCCAGTACCAATGAATAATCACAAGTCTATTGCCAGAAAATCTTCTAAGACTGGAGCACGGCAGCCTGCAATTACACGATATAGCCCTCATCCGACACTGTTCTTAGATCTGGTTCATGAAAAAACATTTTATCAATCTGCTGGACACAAATGAATACGACAGTGACATTCCGGTTCCTTTCCGAATGGCGGTGCCCAGTTCGAAGTCGCACTGATGATGTTGCCTAGCTAGGCTACGAAACGTCTGCGAACAACACTTGCTGCTCGGAGAACTCACCCACACTAACATCCGCATCCCGAGCTAGAATCATTCTACATCATTTCAACGTAAACATCACTTATTACCGGGTTTTCTGTCGCAGAACTCTTGAACGAGGTCCACAAACTAGGAAGAAGTGATACCCGAACCAGTGAAACCACATAAGGACTTGATCAGTAACGTTCGAATACCGATGATTTATGATTAGTTAAAATGTCCAACACAGCGGATTTCTAGTAACACGGATCGACGCGACCTGTCAACTGGAGAATGAAAACGTAGCTTCCGTTCTCACATTGGTAATCTCTAAGAGAAATGAACTCATTGGATTGAAGGAGTCGAGGACCGTCTCGAAGTGCATGGAAGCATTCCTGCAGCTGAGTCAGGTTATTAGAAACTTTGAGTGAAGGGAGACAACAAATGTCAACTGGAGTGAAAAGCCATACATACGACTGGGTTGTGCTATCTTACTTCCTGTCAGGTGATGAACAAATCTTTGAATAATGACACATTAAGTACGGTCGCGTACGTGAATGTTACCTTGATTATGACGGAGTGTTCGGTAAATCATCGCTTTCACTTATAAACAGTTGGTCATTTGAAACTTAGACGTTACTTTAAATTTGAACAACTATTTAAACTAAGCTCAATCAATCAATTATACACTCAGAAGTCTAAGTTTAGGGTTGGCTTGCCACAAACATACCAGGCTGGATTGGAAGACTTGATTTGGTGGATTTCAATTGGAGTTAACAGTTAATAGTCAATTGTACCTCTCTTCCTTCCTGCCGGACCAAAAATGAACTGACCGACTATCACTGAAGACGACACCTGAACAAACGTGGGTTGACTATTTGGCCCTTGCATGAGCTGGTTGGCACAGTGGTAACACACGCCTTCCGTTCGATGGGTCAGGAGTTCCAATCCAGGACGAGACGGTGGATGTGCACTACCGACAAGCTCTAATAAGAGCGAAACTTGAGTCTAGTGCTTCCGAGTGTATGATTAACTGAGGATTGTACGGGACAATGATGTCTGAAGGATAGTCAGTTCAAATCCAAATCAATTATCCAATACCGCTACTGGCAAGTAACTATGAGTCAAATGCAAACAGGTGATATTGATTTCGAATTATCCCAGGAATAATTGAACATCTCGATAAGTAGCTCTCCGATGAATACAGTTCTTCAAGATAAATTTATTTATCTTAATTAATATCTGAGGTCGGAAAATGAGAATTCACATCTTCCCAGGTGCAAACGAAGAAACTATTAACTGGCTGTATTTCATTCCATACATAAAAGACGAAATCGAAACAAGTGTTGTGTACTGTTATGCATCACCTGCCATCAAAAACATTAAACTCAGTTTTCACTCCCATTTTAGGCAAAACATTAGTGAATTCTCGTGTGTACAAATTTCCAGGACCAGAACCCCATTAAAACATCTCTTTAGTTTTACTAAATATTATTTGTGTATGCCATTGTTCTTGTCCATCTACAGCGCACAAAACGATTCTGTCCAACGGGAAAATATAATCAGAATTACTTAACATGCCATTCGTATCATGCAAAGGAGTTCTGGTGAACCGTTTTACGAGATGGAATGTATACAATTTTTGACGCTTGTGGAATAATGGGAACGACAGTGTGCTAATTCACTATGCAAGATGTTCTTTCTTCGTGAAATGAGCGCAACAGGCCATAAGACGGGCAAAAACCTTCACAATTCACATTAGATCCACAGTTGCCTGTGGATAGTAACATGAGATAATTGATATCGATTCGAACTGACTGTCCTTCACGCAATCACTCCTTAGTTCCTCCAGTCAATTAACAATTTAATCGTTTAAGAAAATTAAGAAAACGTGACTAATAATTGGTAGACCGGGACATTTTAATCTTGTTCAAGTGCCCTGGGGTCGATAGCTGGGAATCAATAAAGCAAGATAGGAAAAACACGGTTCTGGGTGAGAAAATGCCTGAACTTCCAAATTACAAATGACAGACGCCTCAGCTGAACAATATACTTAAGGACTTTTGAGTTGACGACTAAGATTGTTGTCTTTAGTGATTCCAACCCATTTCATAGAGTTGATTCCCAGTATAAACTATTATTTATGGAAAAGGAGTATAGTGAATAACACNACACTCAAAACCTTCGCCGTTGTTTGAACCTAGACCAATAAGTCTAGTGATCTTTCGGAGAACCAGTCAGAAAACAAAATTAATCAGTATTTGGGCATTTGAAAGATTCCATTAGTTTCTAAAAGCATCTGCAAAAGGATGGGCGCTGAATGCTGCGGAAAAGTGGAAAAATGAGCAAAACAAAATGATTTAACAAAGTCATCTAGACTTATTGATCAAGTGAATAGCGGTGGAGGGTGATGATCAAAACCAAAAAACTTAATGAAAAGGCTACTTTTTCTCATGTTAGATTGAAGAGGTTACAAGTCTACCAATAGATCGGCATCACCTACCTTCGACACATTTCCGTGCATTTTCTTCCGACTTGTATTCGATGAAACAGTCAATCCGGCGCGACAGCAACAACAACAGCAAGTCCGCTTTATCCTAAACAAAACCTCGACTCCCAGTTCGTGTTACCGAACACAGAGAATCTGTTCGCATTTATATGGGACGCGAAATAATAGCGGATTTGCATCATCCCGCAGTTCAGTCACACACACACACAGACAACCAAAACGATAGTCAGACGCACTTGTTGCATCTGTGCATTCGTTCACTCACCGGAGCATTGGCCATACGGCTCACACAGCGCGCGCAACCCGGTGCGAAGTCTCTCTCGCTCACACACCCTAGCGCACAGGCGAATAATCACCGAAGTGTGCATGCAATCTCGGGACATGAGCTGATGCAATCGTGGTCCGCAATGTTGCTGAAAAATCCTCAATGATTAAAGTGCCATACGATCCCCACGAGCTGTTGTATCAACTTTGGATGTGTCCTGAACGGGAGAGATATACTGCGTGGGTGGTGGATGC